GGTCGCAAGCAGATTTTCCTACAAGAAATACTAAGTTGGTAGGCCAAAGGAAAATGATACCAGGTGGAAACACAGGTCTTCATTAAAGAATGAAGGACATTGGGGCCAGTAGATGCCAGAGCATTTATGTTGCTGAACTCCTACATGATTGACTATGGTTTGAGTCCCAGACCTGGTGGCTTCAAGCTTACGCCACACTTGTGCGTGTGTGGCCAAGATCCCAGGAAGAGAATGGAAGAGAAGGGATTTTGGGGTGGCCTTTCTTTGCCCAACCTTCAACCCCTGCAGGGGTGATTTCTCATTTTCCCTCTCACTGTCTGTCTTTCTCGTGAGTGCACACACCCTATGGCAAAAACTGCTAAAAAATTGAACACCAGAAGTGGTAAGTATGTTGCAAATATAGAAAGAATTATTACCTTCATTTAAAGAAGCCCTTTAAGAGATAATTGAGAGACCAGGTGGTGGCATGTTAGAAGTACACCTGGACCTACATTAAAAAGGTCCTGGGTTTGTGTCCTGGGACCTTCCCAAACATGCAGAGCATACATGCTTGTGCCTATGTATGATCTGGGCTGGCTGAAATTGGGGGTGGATTGTCGACTGGGGGTAGATTATAGTATGAAGACCTGGTTGAGGCTGCCCTCCCATTCTGTCTCTGAAGAAATAGGTAACTTAAAAAAATGTATGGGGACCAGCAGTTAGTGTAATGGCTATGTTGCTGAACTCCCACGTAGTCGACCGTGGTTCGAGTCCCAGACCTGGTGGCTTAAACTCACGCTGGGTGTGTGTGCGTGCGTGCCCAAGATCCCAAGAGGAGAATGGAGGAGAAGGGATTGCGGCGTGGCCATCCCCCCAGGGGGTGATTTCTCACTTTCTGTCTCTCTGTCTCTCTCTGTCTTTCTGGCGAGTGCACGCACCTTACAGCAAAAAAAGAAAACCACCACCCCCCCCCAAAAAAATGTAACTGACTCTTAAAAGCAAAAATAATATTTTTAATTGCCAAAGGGTACATATGCTTGCCAGAGACGGAGAGGGAGAAAGCACCTACCAATGGGCTGTGGTCATGCTGAAATTCTTTGTCTATTTCTCCATTTCATTGGGATTTGGGGACATGGACGTACATGCACCTGGTGTGTTTTCTCAAGCCACTGGACCAGGATTCAAATCATGGTTTGGCTATGTGATATCCAGTTCCTTTAACCGTTAGGCCAAAGGACTGGCCAAGTGTATTTTAACATGGAGAAGTAAAAGATAGTGACAATGGGCCAGCAGGTGATGTGGTGGTTAAGGTGCTAGACTCTCACATGGCAGACTGTGGTTTGAATCCTGGACCCACTGTGTAAAAATCACACCAGGGATTCGTACATGTGTGTGTACCCAAAATCCCAAGAGGAGAATAGAGGAGAAGGGATTGAGGCATGGTCATCCCCGCTGGGGGCTGGTTTCTTACTTTTTCTCTCTCTGTCTCTCTTTGGCAAGTGCATGCAGTTATGGCAAAAACCTCCAAAATTTTTTTGAAAGATAGTG